TGCTGGTGGTTGCCGGTGCTGGTGCTGGTGCTGTGAGCTGGCTGTGCACGTGGTGGAGACAGGTTGCTGGTGCTGGTGCTGGTGCTGGGTGCCGGGCGCCGGTGCGGGCGCTGGTCATGCTGTGAGCTGGCTGTGCACGTGGTGGAGACAGGTTGCTGGTGCTGGTGCCGGGCGCCGGAGCTGGTGCTCGGCCCGGTGCTCGTGCTGTGAGCTGGCTGTGCACGTGGTGGAAACAGGGTGCCGGTGCTGGGTGGGTTGCTGGGTGCCGGTGCTGGTGCTGGTGCTGTGAGCTGTCTGTATGCACGCGACATCATATACGGTGTTGCTGCGTCAAGGGCTGTACTGTTTGCGCGCATACTTTTGTACGTATAATGTTGTATGCGCAACGTCAGGCTCTCAACCGACCATTGTTTCAGCATGTTTCAGCATACTACACGCACAATAATAGTCGTGCTGGCTATTGCTTGGCCTTGGGCGAGTGAGGCCTACGGGCTTTGCTTTGTGCATATACTTTTGCGCGCATAAACTTGTACGCGCAACCCTGCTGTGCGCGTAGTGGAGACAGGGTGCCAGTGGGCGCCGTTGCTGGGTGCTGGGTGTGCGTGGTGGATTGTGAGCTGGCTGTGCGCGTGGTGCAAACAGGGTGTGGGTGCTGGGTGCTGGTGCTGGGTGCTGTCAGCTGGCTGTGCGCGTGGTGGAGAGTGGAGACAGGGTGCCGGGTGCTGGCTGTGCGGGCGTGCCGGTGCTGGGTGCTGGTGCTGGCTGTGCGTGTGGCGGACACAGGGTGCCGCCGGGTTGCTGGTGTTCGTTGTGTGCGTGGTGCAGATTGGGTGCTGGTGCCGGGTGCTGGCGCTGGCTGTGCGCGTAGTGGAGACACGCCACGCTGTATTGCATGTAAATATTGGAGCTGCTGCCAATGCAGGGTGCAGCCCAGAAAAATCTTTTGCGTGCTTTTGCTATCTGGGGTCTATGCTGGAGTAATTTTTGTCAAGGCCGCAGCGGCTGAACTTCAAGCAGCAATTACTCCCATCAGCATGGCCCGCGTGGTGTTGCGTTTGTCAGCCACGAGACGAAGGCAGGATCGACAAAAAGACGTGCATATTTCTAAACACAAACTCAGCGCTGGTACTGCAAGGATTCAGAGTTTTACAGTGCTTCTGGAGGGATGGGTTTGGATGCTGGACTTGTCCATTGTGTGACGGATTGAGGCAGCTGATGGACATTCTGGTAGAGGAACAAGTTTTGGAAGAAGGGTCCGCTTTGAGGCCGATTTAGGGAACATTTGTGCAAGTGAGTGAGCGCCAGCGATTTAGGCTCTTCTGGGCCTATTTTCGCTTTGGCTTTAGGCTGTTCCGGGCTTTGTCAGCGTTGGAGTCTATGATGGGCGCAGATGCGCTGGATGTATGGAGCCCAGTTGGAGGAAGAGGAGTTGGATGATGGAGAGTTGCGAGTTGTGTATAGCCTGGAGGCTGTTCTTACAGGCATGGATGCTGCTGCAAGCCAATGCCTGAGTCCGACATTTTGTCTTGGAGGATGAAAGAAGGTAACGATTTTGAGCCGAGGTGCCAGCGCTGGCATTCTAAGTGTTGGATCCGGAGTCCTTGCAGCAGGTGATATACATCCTCTTCGCTACTAGGGGCTCCTGGCATCGCTACTAGGAGCAAGGACGCTACTAGTAGCTCCTGGCCTTACTACCGGGAACAAGACGCTACTAGTAACAAGGATGCTCTATTCGCCACTACCCCATATTGAAGCGGGAACTTTGGGGCTCCACATTTTCAGGTGCTGGCGTTCTAGATTCTGTCACAAGCATCAGCACTACTAGGCTGGGAAGCACACTTGCTGTTTATCGTCACTGAGGCCATTTGATCATTGCAGCAGATATTCCACCCTGTTCCAAAGCACCTTTTCATCTCCGTAAGCTCTTCATACATAGAAGAAACGCATGTGATGCACTCATGACTGTTGGCATCACCAGCACTTTATATTTATGTTGAATTCTGTGATAGAGGAACCTGTAACACTGTAGCAAAGAGGAGTCCAACCACCCAGTATCAGATTCTCCATTGCGAGCATTGACAGCGAAGAGTTAGATGCCCCAATGTATATTCTATTTCCAGATCCTGCATTGTGGAGCAGCCCTTTTTTGTTTTCAGTTGTTGAATCATCTATGCCTCCTACTCTGATTGTTAAGGGGGGTCTTCATCATCCATGGAGGCAAGCCTAGTGTCAACAGAAGCATGGGTAGGGACGAGGTCATGCGGACTTGTGCGATTTGGTGCGGTATAGAGGGTTGGGCGGAGTTGTTGGAAATGGGGAGAACGGTGCTTCAAGACAAGTGACAAGAGTCTTTTTCCCCACCAGCTTTCCAGGATCCTTCCTCTTCAGCCTGGTGTAGGTTGTAATGCAGTGTAGAGTAGAAGAGGGCGATGCAAAGTAGAATTAGCTCGACGTAGAGTAGGATGAACTTCTTTACCTTTACCTTCCTTCATTCTTGCTTGATCGTTCATTCTACTGTATCCTTATTTGCTCCAATCTATATATCACAATCTATTTGGCTGTTTATCCACATCCACGCACCACATGTCACCAACAAATGATTCCCATTGCACGCTCACAAAGATTCCAATGGAGAGTCGCCTTTTTTGATTCTGGCAGACCTATGCAAGCTCTTGGTGCGTGGTCTTACGATTCCTTGTTTGGAGAAGATGGAGGCTTGGCAAGACGCGTTCAATGGACCATAATGGACCTTTCTACTGTTCTCGATGCAGCTGCCAAGGTGATCAAGTCTTGGAGAATGAGGCACATCCAAACAAACGTGGCTCAAGAAAACTGATGGAAAGGACAGTATGGACATAATTGACATAATGCTGAAAGAAAGGAGGCTCCCGCGTTTCTGTACCTGAGGCCGAGAATCATGCTTCGCAAGAAGTTCCTGATGCACAAGGAGCAGCAGTGCTTGCCTAAGGTAGACAGTTTCCACATACATGTGAACAATTTATCAAAGACAGCGGTGTCAGGCTTTATCAAGATAGAGGTGGTTTGTGAAGGCATCCGGAGGTAACAAGACCGGGATAGTGAAGGTATGTTGTTGCATAGGAGAACAACCATCTTCTCCAAGCCAAGTAGCTTCTTGCTCCTAGTAGCGTCCTTGCTCCTAGTAGTAAGGCCAGGAGCCCGTAGTAGCGTCCTTGCTCCTAGTAGCGATGCCCTTTGTTACTAGTAGCGAACATTGCAAGCATGGCTTTGCTCAAAACACAATGGATGTCTCACGTTTTTTTGCTTCGGCACTGATGACTGGACTTTGTACTGATCGATGAGATTCAAACAACACTGAACGAGAACGCTTTGACAATAGAGAACAGTTGTAGAAAGTTTGTTGAGACGATCAGACTTCGGACGACAACAGCTAAAAAGTGGACATGCAGCACACGCAACAGTACCTTTGGAAAACAGCAGCTACAAATGAGAACGGTGGCTGATGACAAGACACAGAGGTAAAAAGTGGACAGTGGACACTTGCGACAAAACTGTTTGCAACAAACCACAGGCAAGTTTATTTAGCATTACCGTATTTAGCGAGGAGACTGTATTAAGAACTAAGACTCTTGTCAAGAATGCTGTCCAAGAAGAGGGATGTCACTTTTTTTGTTTCCTTTTCCCTTTTTCTTAGGCCTCTTCGACCTTTGTTTAAAGCCATTGTTGTGGCTTGCTAGTTCAATTGCCAAGGATTTCTTCTGACACCACAAGTCTTCAGACGCCTATACTTGGGCACTGGCCATCCCGAGTCTGGAGTGTTTCAGAAGCCTTTGGCACCAATCTCCATCATATCATCACTGGATTTCCAGATCCATGATACAGAGGATTTTGTTCAGGCTGGAAACAACTTTGGATCATGTATATATATACATATATATATGATTGTCTATTTTTTTGGGAGGCCCTCTCGTCCGAAGAGGGATTGCAGAAGTAGAAGAAGCCACAAGCGATTGCAGGCCAACAAGGCTTAGCAGATTATCGTTCTTTTTCGTGTATCGACTTACGAAGCCAGGCCGACAGTGAGAGCTTTCGAACCCCTTGGTACGAGTAAGAGAGCTGTCAGTTGCAGTCCTGTGAAGAGAGCAATGCGTCTTGCAAAGCCATTGCAAGTTGCCGATGCAAGATAGTACAAGGCAAGATAGACTGGTGAAGTCAAGAAGCTCTGGTGTGGGGTGCTCAAACTCTCTGAGAGGGCTTCGAGGAGCCCGTGCGAAAAGATGTGAAAACCAGTCGTCCAAGCGAGGCTTTTGTTCTGCTTTGGGTCTTTTCTACTAGCGTTGGCCTCCAACCAACTTTGTAACAACTCAGCACTCAGCATTGAATCTGGCATGTGACCTCCGGGCACAGAGTGAACGAGCTGAAGAACGGCTCGCCTTTGAGCATTGTATGGTCAATCCAACTGCAATAGTCTCACATGTTTCAACAATTGTCCTGAACAATTTCACTACAGTTCGACGAACATATATTTGAAAAGCTTTCCAACTGCTAGCTTTTGCCCAATGTTCTTTGCCTCATGCATGGTTTGCCGGCATTCGACGCTCTGCCCTCAACCAATTCGGAGAGAGGGCCAGGGTCAGAGTGAGGCTCAGTCAGGTGTTCGCTGCAAGCGCTGACAAAGCGCTGATCGTCAAATATGACAACAAAGATGAGAATTACAGACTATGTTGAGATCCTAAGAGTTCTTGGAACTCAGGGAGTGCGCTGGGTCTGCTTGTGCATTTGAGGCCGTGCAATTCCTGCAACTCTAACAGCTGTGCACCTCAGGCTGCCCAAGAGGTACTTGCAAAAGTTGACCAAGAACACCTGGTTTCTAGCCGCATGTGGGACTGCTTGGTTGTGCTTTGCGAGGCATGGGGATCTTCGGCGCCATCAACTGAGGCAGGCTGTTTGGGCATGGCAACACGGCACCCTTTGATTTCGGCAGGCAAGAACTGCATCCTTCTCATCAGGGTCAGAGGACGACAGGAGCGCAACGCTCTCGCACCAATCACTATGAGCTGAAGCTCAGAGAGAAGTTTCTCTCGTTTACAGGCTGAAGAAAGATCAACTAAGAGAGCTTGTGCTTGGCTTGGAACAGCGGAGCATTTTGATCCTGTTGAATTCGTGAGGTGTTTTGTGCTTTGAGGTGCATAATTTTACTGCAGATGCTTTGAAGGGTGTTGAGTGTACCCTGCAAAACGAGGATTTACTGTAAAAAGGTTGATGTATACTGAGGTGAGGGCAGGTGTATCAGTCAATATCATATATCCCTCAGTTGGTCGGCTTTGGAGGTACAATGGTGGAAAGACGGACGCTGACCAAAGTGGAGGCAAAGAGAGAAGAACTGCACTATGTAAATTTAATTTCACAGTGTATATCGAGGCCACAGGTAAGAACGATATCATTTTCACTAGTGTACACTTAGGCGATCTACAAGCTCGACCATTCAGTCAGCTGGTTGAAATTTACTGGACGCTCAAGTGGAGCTACGCTGGCTGCAGCGCCCTGCGTTTTTATGTACCATTTGCTGAAAAGCTTGGCTGCTAAAGCTTGCAAGTCCTGACGTTGCTTTTCCCTCAGGTACAGCTTTCTTGGATCTCGCGACTGATCTCAATTCAGCACTTGCCGATCTACGAGCAGGAGGCCGCAGTTCTGCTTCAGTGTCACAAGTAAGTGGTGTTTTGCCTGCATACTGTGCAGCTAGCTAGCAGGACATTCTCGGCAAGTCCAACTTCAGTGATCTGAAGAATAGTCTGCTTTTGAGCTCAGGAGGTGAGGTTAGAGAGATCGTTTGGTTTGCTTGAAGAAGATACCTTCATGAGCTCTTGAATCTTTAGTAGGTTGTTTTATTGGTCAGGGTCTGCCTCAGACACTATTGGACGAATATATTAGCTTGGCAAGTCCTACCCAGTCAATACCGGTAAAAAAGGCACACAGAATGAACCGAACAAGAACTACAACACGTTGTGCCAACGGGGGGGGTTAGCCCCGCCGGCAACATATATCCGATCGGTCTTTCAGGGTGGGGGGGTGGGGGGGGTTGGGGTCAGCTTCGTCTGTGTTACTACTCGCGTACATCGACTTTGACGTTGACTTGTCGACTCGGTGACCTTTCGTTCGCTCGGTGACCGCTTTTCTTGGCTTAGAGGACGACGTTCGAGGTTTGTTTTAACACTGCGTAGAATTGGGAATTCCGTGGAATGTAATGGAGTGCTGATGAGGCTTAGGTAGGTCGGCTGCTTCCATGTCGCTCTCACAGCAGGCGTTGTCAGACGCTTTGACAGCCATAGCTCAGGCTGGAGGTGTCACACGTGATGTGATTGGGCTAGAAGAAGTGTTGTTAGCCACCCGCAACCGCATTCGAACGAACGGTGATGCTCCAACCATAGCGCTGCAGAGAGCTGGAATGGCTCGTTGTTTGATGCCCATAGGAGCATGGGTGGCGGCAGAGCCTTCGCTTCAGGGCCTGTCAAGTGAAGTTCGGTCAGACGTGATTTGGAACCTGTATATAGCAGCAGTGTCCCGCACTCAGGCGGCTGATGCTTTTCCCCAGCTAACAGGAGACTTGTCGGTATGGTCAGAGGTCGTTGCAGGTCTTCCCATCACGTTCGCCCCGACAGAAGCAGCGCAGACTACGAATGTTAGCGCCCTCCATTGGAAGTGTGTGGCAATAGGCTTGATGTTGCTAGCAGCTGACTCATGCGTTCCTTCAGGTCGTACAAGGGTCTATGTGTCATTGCTGCGAGCGGTCATGCTGGGCCTTGGGTCATTGTTGTGGTACACGGGATTCACATGGTTCAGGAGTGGCATGAACACCCGATCTCCAGGTCGGCAGCCTTCGCTGGGTCCTTCAGGGGCAACGCCTTGGACTTCAGACAATGAGTTGCCTGCGTTGGAGCCGATTGAGCCTAGGAGCGAAACCACAGCAGTAGACACTCGAATGGCATTTGACACACCACCACCTGGAGCACCCCCCTTGCCGATGTCGCAGGGCATTGCTGGGGCAAGTGTGAACAGCGTGCAACAAACAAGCATGACAGCAGGTTTGAAGAGGGTGCAAGTGTTGAACAAAGCGCCTTATCAGTTGTTAGCTGGACAGCAAGGTCAGGTAAAGAATGTGAGTGGAGGCCTTCTCACCATCGAACTGGACAATGGCATGACATTGCAGAGTGTTCCACATGAAGCCGTCACAGATGCCAGTACAGTGGGCACACAAACAGGTTCGGCAAGTGGTGAGAGCTATGCCCCATACAGCCTGTCTGGCCCCGGCACCAAGCTGCAGGCGCAAGTGGCTAGGATCAAAGAGGCAGTCGTCAAGGCAGCTGCACTTCAACGCTCGACGCCAGGTTGGGGAGCTCTTTTTTGGCAGGCAGTCAAAAACGAGAAAGACATATATCACCTTGAGCCTGAAATTGTCAACTTACTGCAAAGTCACGGGTATGTGGGGGACGACACCAAAGGTCCTCCTCGTGCAGACGAGCTCAAGAAGACTTTGCAGGAGTTGGAGTCAGTTGGTGGGCCACCCCATGGCACAGGGGGTTCCTTTGCCCGAGTTGCAGGCATTGCAGAAGGTGCAAACCCTGAAGACATGGCATGGCACCTCAAGCTACCAGCCGATCTCCAAAGAGCTGCGCCTGAACTATATCGTAATATCAGAGCAGAAGGGTGCAGCTCAGTCAGGCAGTGGGTGAATGATCAACACCCAACTCTGGAGTTGAAACAGAGCCCAGGTTACCAGGACTTGTTCATGGCCGCCACCATCATTGATTTCGAACTTGCAGGTTGTCGTTCAGAAGCAGCAGTGATGGCCAAGCTGGGCACGTCAGATACCTGGAGATCCACCTAAGGAAGTTGGGGGCCTTCATCTATTACAGAAGGACAAAGGACAAGACAGGGGCCAACAGGATGCTGGGAGTGCGTGCACCAGGAGCCAATGCCGATATAGCCCCAAAGTGGCTACTGGACGATGCCAATGCCCATTCGAAACTGGAATGGCAACGTTCGGAAAGAGGACAGAAGATGAATCGACAAGAACATGGAGGGCATGGCTCAGGAGGAGGTGGCCACACCAAGTTCGCAGGCAAATTCAGAGGCCGTGGTGGCAACAAGGGCAGTGGCAAGAGTGCAAAGGGGGGCAATCCCCCAAAAACACAAGGGTGATCCCGGGAAGATGCCGTGCCCTCGGTAGACCCACGCGAGGGTAGCGGCGCAGACAAGACCAAGCGGGTCAATTTTCCTGCCTCTGATTGCAAGATGGAAGAGGAGGCGGCGGAAGTCATTCAAGGGCTAGATGATTGGTCCTTGTTCCCTTTGCCAGAGCCAGAGCGACCTGAATACAAACGGCGCAAGTCGGCAAGACTCCGCACCAGGCAGAAGCGACGTTTTGTTGTTTGGAGAGGAGCAGTGCAGCTGACCAATGTTGAACGCCCTGGCGCAGGGTGCGGTGAGCACCAAGCTGACATCGCCTGAAGCAGCGCAGAAGTTGGGCCATGTGAAGGCCACGGCTGCCAGGTCTCTTGCGCAGCAGCGAATCCTTCGTAGTTTTGCTGTGACTGCACGGGAACGCCGGAGCCTCGGCTTGACAGGCGTCCAGACTTCGCGAGCAGTGGCATCCTTGTTGAAGCAACCGGTTGATGATCAGGGCTATATGAACTTCTCCAAGGTCAAACAGGTCTCCCTTCGCGCCGACAGCATGGTCGAACCTCCGGACACAAAAAGCATTGACATGTTGGAAGCATTGCCTCAAGATGATGCATTGTTTTACAGTTGTGAGCAACATGTCATTGATGCAACAGGCAAATCAGGAGCATTGTTCAAAGAGTTGGAGGCCCACTATGGGTTTGTTGGTGGAACAGAGGAGGAGTACTTGAAATACCTAGCCCGGAGCGATGCAGAATGGAAAACATTCGGGCAGTGGCTGGTGTTTCAGCAGTGCCAAAGAAAGACCCATCCCAACAGAGAAAACTGATCATGCAGGTGGCTTCAAATTACATGATGACTGATCCTTCACAACGGGCACACTTGGGTATGGACGGTGGTGGAGCGCTCGCAAGATGTTTCGTGCCATTGGATCGTTTAGCTGTGTCCATATGTGATGAGGATTCTGCATTCACATTTGTTCGTGTTCCAAGGTGGATGACGTTTTGGCGGGGAGGACCACCAGTGCTAGCGTTGCAGATCCAACGAAGGAATATGTGTCACCACGTTATTTGAGACTGGCTATGGGTGGTTCACACTCTGTGTACATACTCGTGCGCATCAACCTTGAACACATCGGAAGATCATTGTTTCAATATGTAGCCAGTCACAACAATGGGCGTGAGAAGTCAGGCATTGA